TATAACTTAAATGAATTACAACTAGATCTAATTTAGTAGCTTGATCTTTTTTGTCAGCTGTTTAAAAGTAAAACTTCTCATTATCCTCCTGAGACTACATCAAGCTAACTAGAAAGAATATTTGTATCACATTAGTCAGGCAGAAGACTAGAATAGAGTGTGTGCTGCCTTTACTTTCCAGAATATTTTTTTCAATATCTTGGGGACTGCTGAGTGTGCTTCTATTTCAAAAACAGATGACTCAGATGGAGTCACTAGAAAGCAGGGTTCTTGTGCCAACTGGATACTTGGCTAACAAAGTTGTTCCACTCTTGTTTTGTAGAGGAATTTCTTCAAGTTGAAAATATAATATTCTTAGTGACCTTTAATAAGTTTCTGATCTTTATTTTCTCCAACTCCCTGTCCCCAATGCATTTAAGTGAGGGTGAATACCCGAGGAACCAAATTTAGAAAGCTCTATGGTTTATAATCCATCTAAATGAGTATGAAGTTTTATAATGATTGACGCTCATTATGCTTTTGGAGCCTAAATCACATGGATGACTCCAGGCAGAATGTGTACCTGTATCCCTCAGCTATCCCCATAAACAAATGTATTCCTGTGATATAGAACAGTGGTCGCCAACTGGTGGGCCAGGACCATTGGTGGTCCGTGAGAAAATTTTGGTGATCTGTAGAGAAATGTCCCCCCCCCCAAAGGAATTAATCCAGGCTGCTAGGGAACACAAGGCTGCACCACCCACATGGCCTGCCAACCTGCTGGCCCCCACCCTTCGGCCGAGCACAAACCTTGAGGAGAGCCACGTGAGCTGGAACTAGAAGGTAAGACCAACGGTGGGGGAGGGAAATCCGCCCCAGGATGGCTTGCTGACATTGGGTGGGAAAGTCGGTCCCATATTCCAGAGCTGCAGCAGTCACAAGACTGGCCCTTTGGTCATCCCAGAGCAGCTCTTCCAGTCCATGGCAGGCCAGTGCAACCGGGTGGAGGAGCAGCTGCTCTGGGATGACCAAGGGGCTAGTCCTGTGACTATGGCAGCTCTGGAATATGGGACTGACTTTCCCACCAACGTCAGCAAGCTACCGTCAGTCAAATGCATATTAGTGGTCCGGGAGATTTCAAATTATGAGTGTGTGGTCCCTGAGGTCCAAAAGGTTGGCGACCCCTGATATACAATATCAGAAAACTATAATAACAATTTCATATCATAAAAAAGAAAAATATGTATCTATAGATCATAGCTATTCTTTATAACATTCTATTCTTCTGGAATAGTCAGAATAAGGATTGTTTGTTTGATTTTTGATTTTTAAATAAGCCGTTTCATAGACAATTAAAAGTTTATTTTGCCTTTCACCATTTTATTTTTGTATTCCAGCAAAGATCTTACAAAGTTTTTCCCCTTTCAAGCTTACTCCAAGCAAGCAGCAAATGTTTTACAAATAACCAGATAACCTGTAGTCTGTTCTGTTATGAACATGGGTGGGCAAAAAAGATCACGTGACCACAGCAGCAGCCCAGCAGTCCAGCAGGAGCTAGTAGCACTGAAGCAGTCACAACTTTCCCAAATTTTATTCCCTAGGGAGACATGGGTTCCAGATTTTGGGCACATTCAATAAGGTAGATTATTTGAGATACCTTGGTTCCAAATTATTGTTTTATGATACACCATGTTGCACTAGTTAGTCATGACAACAAGTCGTATGTAATGAGTTGCAGTAGTTACTAGCAGATTAGCTTTGGAGAAACTCGTATTCAAATCCAACCTCCCTCCCCCTTATACATGAATTTGACGCTAGTTGATTTTGCTGATGCTGACAGCCTGGGTTTGAGACTCAAGTGTCAGGAAACGGGGTGAGTTCCTGTTACTTGTCCTAGGTCCTGCCCACTTAGCAGTTCATAAGCATGAAAATGCAAGTAGGTAAATTGATATCACTATGGTGGTAAGGTAACAGCATTCTGTGTGCCTTTGGTGTATAGTCAGGCTGATCACATGACCATAGAAATGTCTTTAGACAATGTTGGCTCCCTTGGCTAAGAAATGGAGATGAGCACCACACCCTAGAGTCAGAAATGACTGTACCAGGAAACCTTTACCTGAATCAGATTAAAGTGGTCATTGTTAAAATTAGATAGCAGGGATACCATTGGAGTCTAACAACCCTTAAATATTTTTGTAACTCTATATTACAAATCTTTGTGAAGGTGGATTTAGTAGTAAAATAGGTGCCAAGAAGTAGTGATATTGATGTCAAGATGCACTTGATATTTCTTGGCTTCCCTTTTCTTTCCCTATAGAATTAACCAACCCTTTTGTAAAATTCATCTCTCTATGAAATCAACTGAAAAATTCTCACTGATTATAGTGACTTATATCTGTACTGCTTGTGATGATAAAAATCAAAGATATCAAAATAATGGAACACCATTAAAACAAATAAAAAATTCCATCAATAAAACAAGTGATAATCTCTTGCCATCACCAAAACCTCTACTCCAAAGATTATCCTAGATTTAAAAAACCTACTTCTCCCTCCCTCCAAGAAGGATGACAAAAGCAAAGCTTGATCTCTCTTGACAAAAAGTTCCAATGCCTAGAAAAAGTAATTGAGAAGGCGCTGTCTTGCATTGCCTCTGCCTCTTTTATGGTGGTGATAATAAAATCAAAAGACCTTTCAACATCTTCAAATCTGATAAGGAAGTATATCATTTTATATCAAGCCACATAGAACTTTACAAATTATAACAGCATTTTTGATTTTTGCAAAGGAAAGATAGGCAATGAATGGAGTTATATATTTGTAGCAACCAGTCAATAATTTAGCTAGGATATTCTGGACCCATTGAAATTTCTGAACAATTTTGAAATATAGATCCATATAAATCAATACTGCAATCCAAATGGAGTATGTGTCAGATGACTATTTTTAATATAAGATTGAAAATATGTTTTCGTTTTTCTTAAAATACCCTGCAAAACCTATCAGCTGAAAAAATAGTATCTCGGGAGAGCATTTCTCTTGTAAAATTCAAGCATAGTACCATTATTGTCTAAGAGTTACCTGCAGAGAGAGGGGGGGGAGGGAGGGAGGGAGGGAGGGAGGAAGGAAGGAAGGAAGGAAGGAAGGAAGGAAGGAAGGAAGGAAGGAAGAAATCACTGTCAATCACTAACTATATAATTATCATCTGGAACTGAAATCTCTTTCATAATTAATCAAAATACTGATTTATGAGTTAGATTAATATCAACTGTGATTTTACAATTGATATATGTACATGTTCCTCAATAAATAGTGCTAAAACAAGCTGTGAACTTTACAGAAATAGCATGATTGTTGGAATGACTTATTTCTATCTGTACAATTACATATTTTTGCTATTGATTCAAAAGCATGTAATACTATTTAGCTATAATGCATGTCTATTACATGATGTCTATTACTGGTGTCTATTACATGCTCTCTATATCTAGAAATGTAGAAGATTCACTCAAATACCCAGGCTAGTATTTTAAAAAATATAACTTAAATGAATTACAACTAGATCTAATTTAGTAGCTGATTTTCAGTTGAACTCATAGGTCCATTCCTGAGGCTAATTACTTCACAATATTACAAAATGAAGTACAAAATGAAGTATATGGATTGCAAATAAAACAAGGTAATGAAACATCCAAATGCTTCTGATATTTAAACTCATCCTAAATCATAAGCTTTGATAATTTTCCTATTCAATATATGCTAAGTAAGTGGTAACCAAAGATATTGAGGAATTCATTTGCTATGTGAAACTCCCTGATCCAAAGGTATGAACTCATGGTGCAGAGAACATGATTTTGCCACTCATAATACATTTTGATAAACCATTCTCTTGATTGAATTTTAAAGCTTTTGATTTTCACAGGTCAAGGACTTTATCTTTAAAATTGTTTCTGCATATGTAATACTATTGCATGGGGACAGAGCTCATTGATCAGCAAAGAGAATTCCAAATGTGATCAAGGTATTTATACAGATAAAAAAATACTTATGGAGAAATATTTATACTTATACAGATGCTAAACCTAGCAGCAACTGTCAGCATGATGAAAGCAGCAGATGAAACCCAGCTGAGTGACTTTGGGACCTCATTGGTTGCTGAGATTGATGGCTTTTGGCATGACTTGGACAGAGTTGGTTTGTCTATCCTGGTATTAAACAACTTCTCATCAATCATGATATCATCATGGACTGTCTTTAGAGATTGGGAGTAGTAGTTCTACTTCTATATTGGTAGATGGTTCCATTCAGTAGTGATAGGGGAGGAGAAATCAACTTAGTGGTTCCTCCTTTGTATTGTACTTCAGGGATCAGTTTTCTCCCTCTTTCTATATAAAGCCACTGGGAGATGCCATTTAGCTATTTGAGATGATACCCAGCTATACATCATGAACTCAGACTGCTCTGAGGATGCTGTCAAAGTGAAATTTAAAGTGTTGGTGTTAACCCATAAACCTTTTTATGGCTTGGGGTTCAATTACCTACTGCACCATATCTTCCTACAGAAGTGGATTACAATTATGGCAGAAGAAATAGATGATTGTTCCTCACTTTTATGGGATTGGAGGAAGGTCAGACAATTGGATTGTTTTTCAGTGGTAGTGCCAGAATAATCTCTGGTTGTGGTAAGGTCCATACTTACCTTGGACACCTTCTAGAAAATGTTGAAAATCCAACCTTTTCAAATGTCATTTGGGTCATTGTCCTCTTTATTTGGATATTATGGGTTTTCATTTTTTTAAATTTTGGTATTTTTGTTTATTCTACTGGTAAGCCATTCATTGTCTGTTGGATTGCAGTGAGGTAAAACACTGAATCAATAATAAGAATAAATACTAATACAAATAATACTGATGAAATATGAATGTCCAATCTAGGTTATTTATGAGAACAGCAAGGGATAAAACTCATTAAAATGTAATGGTATTAATAAAATCTTTGCAAATTCCTTGGGAGATCCTTACCTCTTCCTTGGTCTTTTTGGATATAACTCTTAGCCAATCGCCAATCATGCTCAAGACAGCAGCAAAATATGCAAGACCCACCAGAATCCAGAACCACACAATTGGTTTGTAAAAGTCAAAATATTCAATATCTGATCCCCCTAAAAATAAATCAAATAAATATAGGTTTGTATTGGATACCTGTTACCAGTTATTCATACTTCTTTACTATATATTAAAAGTTATTAACTTCATAGAACAACACAGGTAAGACCAAAGTCAACTCAATATTAAATCAACAGATTGAATTATATTCCAAGCAGTTTAGAACTTTAATACAATTTCAGTGTAAAGATAACTTGTTTTTAAATCAATAGGTTTTTGAACATAATGTTAAACTGTAATTGGGTATTCTATGAATGTGCATTTCTTTTTCAGGAGCATCTGCTTCTGCTTTGAAACTGAACATTTTCTCCATTAAACTGGTAAAGTCTTACTCAGAAGGATCTGACCAAATTATTCTTCTATAATTGCAAGGATCAACCTATGATCATACCTTCTATTTTTAATGTTCATGGAAAGTCAACCTTCTAACAATCCATGTTCTTACCCAGTTTCCTCCATCAATTTCATTCAAACAACCACCTAACAAACCAGCAATGCCAAAAACTAATGATACTGATAAAAGGAGATCTGTGAACTTTCTAGCAGCTCCCTCCAATCACCCAGCTCCAACCACCAGTTCTACTAGCAACATAGGAACACAGCAACCTTCCTTTTTCCAAACCTTCCATTTTTATTTTATTGATGTACTTGTATTGACAGAGTCCTCAAACACTGGAAATTAACAGTAATTCTCTCAAATTTTAAGAAAGGAAGGGAAAGACCTGCCAGCATGTTATTAGCAAAACAAACTGGTTAACAGAATTAGTAAGATTTACAATAGGCATTTATACTAAAAGGCAATAGACTCATTTCTCATGGAGATGATTCCCACCGATGAGAGAGAGGCTTTAGAGAGGAGAGACCCAAAATACACCAAATGATTGTACTGAGCAATTAGTTTTAGAGATATACAAGCCACAGCTTGTACTTTATGTTGCTTTTACTGTTTTTAATGCCTATTTTTTGGGGGGAGTGGGGGACTAAAAGCTGTATCAATTAACTGTTGATTGCTTCTCTTAGTTCTGAGACCATGTGAATACTGTAGTTAGGGAAGGATGCAATGAATAATTTTCCTATCTAAATATTAAATACACTCTACTAAATACTAGAGTGAATAAAACTCCATGAATCATTAAATCATCAATGGATAGAGATACAATTAAGAAATAAAAGCAAGAAAAAGGACATAAGGATGGTATAATCATCATTTTATGATTTATAGATTTGAGGATTAAAAGAGTTAAAGATGAAGGAAAAAGTGTTAAGATGAAAATTACACAATAGAAAGAAGGGGGAAGACATGTTTCTGTGTTTTCTTTCTTTTTTACTTTCTTTTTTCTCATTTTTAATCTTTTTCTTTCTAATTTTTCTCTTATTTTTTAATCTTTTACTGTATTGAAAATCCTAATAAAACATCGAAGAAGAAGAATAAAATTATTGAAGAAGAAGAATTGACACTCTGGAAAGAGTGCAGAGAAGAGCAACGAAGATTAGTGACGTGGAGGCTAAAACTTATGAGGAATGGTTGCAGAAATTGGGTATGGCTAGTCTAGTGAAAAGAAAGACTAGGGATGACATGATAGCAATGGTCAATATTTGAGGGGTTGCCACAAAGAAGAGGGAGGCAACCTATTTTCCAAAGCACAAGAATGCAATACCACTATTGCCTTCTGGAAACTAATCAAGAAGATAACCAACTAAGGGGAAATTTCCTAACAGTGAGAACAGTTAACCAGTGGAACAACTTGCCTCCAGAAATTGTGGGTGCTCCATCACTGGAGGCTTTAAAGAAGAGACTGGACAACCGTCTAAAATAATATAGGGGGGTGACTAGAGGGCTTCTGAAGTCTCTTCAAACTCTGTTATTCTGTGACCATCATCCTCATTCCTTGGATCAGTGTTTCTCTACACTTTAAGATGTGTGCATTTGAAGTCAAAGGCCACACATTTTAAAGTTGCTCAGGTTGAGAAACATTGCCTTGGATAAATAGAAAGCTATTTTGTATGTTGCTCAGAAAACAGAAAAGAATTCAGAAACTACTTGTCCTTCCACAGCAGGGGAACCAGTTATATTCCAGCTGCAATTAAGCTTTCTATCATCATATTTGGCACAATATTTAGAACCAATAATAGGTATAACCCTGCTGTCTACTGAGATGGTGGCTTACTGTGATATATTATGGTAGAATTTCCTTAAATACAGTAGATAAGAATTCCATCTGCAATACAGACCGTGGCATAAATAAAATGAAGGCAGGAGATAAATATTTTTAGCACACAAGGCTTCCTGGGCTCCCATTGCTTAGAGTATTCAACAATTCTGACCATATGGGGTAGGACTACAATATCTGGCTGCTGAAATGCATGGTGTGACACAGCTCAGATATGTTCTGCACAAGAGATATTTTGGGGGGGCGTTGGCAATGGAAAGTGAGATTGTGTGGAAAGGAGTACTTTGAGTTGACTGAGGTGGTAAGGTGGGAACTCTTGGGAACTCAAGCCTGTTGCTGGAAGGAGGGGCTATGTGGCCGTCCCTTTTTCCTGGGTTTTCCCAATTACTGCAGCCTAGAGGTGGAGCTTAACACCTTAGCCCTTTCATCATTGAGGAGCATTATCTAAGAAGGGGCAAAGAGAGCTCAGCTCCTGCCTTGAACATAGATCGTTTATTCTTGCAGCTCAGTCTCTCTCTCTCTCTCTGAAATTCTTAAGGTTCTGCAGAAGGAAGGTTTTTATTTCTTTTTTAATAACAGAATAACAGAGTTGGAAGGGACCTTGGAGGTCTTTTAGTCCAATCCCCTGCTCAGGCAGGAAACTGTATACCATTTCAGATAAATGGTTGTCCAACGTCTTCTTTAAAACTTCCAGAGTTAAAGTATCCACAACTCCTGAAGGCACGTTATTCCACTGATTAATTGTTCTAACTGTCAGGAAATTTTTTCTTAGTTCTAGGTTGCTTCTCTCCCCTTGATCAGTTTCCATCTGTTTCTTGTCCTGCCTTCAGATGCTTTGGAGAATAGGTTGACTCCCTTTTAGTAATCATTTACTTTCTCTCTCTTTAGCATTCTCACTCTTTTCCCACTAAGCATTTTAGAAATTTAGTGTTTAATTCACAATGTATTCAGGTCCACTGCGTTTTAATTTTATTGTAATTTGTTTATCTTTTTTTCTTTTCTTGCATCCTGAAACTTTTATTATCTAAGTAACACTGGCAAACAATTACTAAAACATAAGAATGATTATTCCCTGAATTGCTTTTATGATTGATGCCTGTTTCTGCATCTCCCTTCTGTGTCATCTAATAATAAAGCAACTAACTCAAATGATTGAAGCACAAAATGCAGGTACTCTTCAAATTATGACCAGTTGCTTGGTGACTGTTCAGAATTAAGATGGACCACTAACAGGGTACTCACAACCCAGTTCCAAAGTTCTTATGGACTCTCACCCTCCCATAGTCATACGATCGCATTTCAGGTGCTCAGCAACCAGCTCTCATTTGCAGCCATTTGCAGTGTCTTGCAATCACATGGCCATGTTTGTTTTTGCCCAAACCCAGTTAACTTCCAGTTTTCAACAAAAATGTCTGATAGCATTTTTGCTAATAGGTTTGCTTAATGACCACTGCAGAAAAAGGACATAAGATGGAATCTATCACATGATGATGTACTTTGCAAACACCATGACTGACGACCATAACAGGCAGATTCCACTAAGGACATAAGTTGATGAGTACCTGTATTTTTGGCATTTCATGGCAACATGAGGTAAAAGCTCTCGTGCATGTTTAATAGTACTTTCTATTACAAGTTAAGCAATTTCATTCATTCCAGTAAATGAGTGAAATTGCTTAAATCTTCCTCTTAATATTCCAGGCTACTGCTCCAATCCTCAACCAGTGGGCAATTCGATCATCAGGACCAATGTATTAAACCTAAGAAGCAATCTACTGACACTAATTATGGATGTATTTAAATCTGGCAGGGCATAAATGCTGCAATAAATAAATAAATAAGCCAGAAGCATTATAAATAGAATGCATCAGACTTTCAAATAAAATCTTGGAAATGCAAACAAAACATTTAGTCTGCTATCAACAGTAGCCAAAACCTGCTTGGCAACCTGATCCTATATTTAGAGGTGATGGTACTATTTTCCAGCAAGGCATCAGATTCCAAGATCAGTTAAATTAAACATTGATTTCCACTTCACACTTCTGTTCATCTAGGGAAAATCAGAGGCTGAAATTCAGAAGGATACCTGAATTTCTTCAGATACAGTGGATAAAACTTTTTATCTGAATTAATTCTGATTCCTATTTCCTTGTACTCTCTGTCATCTGCCATAACTTGCTAGGTGGCTGGGGGGAAGAGGAAGTAAGCAATTAGCATATAGAGGGTCAAGATGAGCCAGAGGGGAAGTGGTGACAGAAACAGAGATGTGAGAGCCAGCTCGTTCTAGTCTTCAAGGCCACAGAGCCTAAGACAGGAATGTGAACTGCACCAAGTGGGACTTAACATTTGAGCGGTTCCCCAAACAGTTATATGGCACACCATTGGATGAAAACAAACTGGTCAAGGGGGGGGGGGGGGGGGAGAAGGGGAAAATCTGTAACTCTGTGAGGGAACATTAGTTCTAGCCTGCTTCTGCTGCAACCACTAATCCTTAGTAAAAGAGCCTATCACTTCAATCAAATGGAATTGAGGGACTTTCTTTCCTAGGGACCTAGCTGGGGCCAGCCTGACACTTTCTCTCTTTATCCATGCATTGAATGTTTCTTTCTTCTATGAAAAGACAGGATATATAAACCAGCAATTCAAGTTATAATTTATTTTTTTCACACACACACACACACATTAAAAATTGCAGTATAGTAAAACTGAGCTGTACTTATTTATTTATTTTTTGCTGTTGTTTTTAATTACACAGAAGACTAAAAGTCCAAACATTTCTATTTTCCCCCTTTCTCTTTTTAAAGCACTTGGGAATTTGAAATACAGTATTGGAAGTTATTATTTTGACCTTGGTGGTACTGTCTAGGTAATTCTGTCAGGTTCATGATAACTAATCTTTTCTAAGATAGAGCATTTCTTCCCTCATCCTGGATGAGCAACAGGAATTAACCTGTTAGTTGGTTTAGAAGGGTGAAGATACAGCAGCAAAGATCCCCTGTCAATATCCTAGAAATTAAGCATGTGGTGGGGTGTTTGCCCTGCCTGGAGACATGAGGAAGAGGAGGAACAACCTCCCTTGGTGTGAGAAACCACCTCTAAGCATGTTGGTCTCAAAGTCCCATCTTCTACCATTTAGGTTGTCCTACCCCCTTCTGTACATAGGAACTTGTTCTTCTTAAATTCTATTTCCTTCCTTCTTTCTTCCTTCCCTCCCATCCATCCATCCATCTATTTCAAAAGATGGTAAGGCATAGCAAAAAAAAGAAAAAACAATTAACAGCGCTGATGCACAGAACCGATACTAATCACTGTGTTTTTCTTTATAGTAATGAAAACTATAAAAACAGCGAGAGCTGCAGGGACAAATCATTATATTAATGTATAATGATAGAGACTACTAACGTACTTGGTGTTCCAGGTTCAGTTAAGTGGCCTTTGGTATATACTGTTCTTACTATAGACATAACCAGGATATACATTTTAGTGCATAAAAACAAGACAAAAATATTAATGTTCTTGCTCTGAAAAAGACACCAGTTTTAAAGCAAGTCCAACTAAGTCCATTTCCCTATAATACATATTAGTGCATGAGAATCACTGGACTTTTAAAAATAGATATGGAATCCAGTGTATATCTGACAGCTTTATACATAGGAAAAAGTAAACATTCAGGCTGGGGAAAAATATGTTAGTGATGCCATTTTCATCTTACAAACTAAACATGTATTATATGGAAATAATAATATAAAATATAACAGCACACTATATCCATACATACAAACACTGGCCTTTATGATCTATCCCATATATATTAATGATAAGGCATGAATATGAGCCTGATTGTCAAGTTTATACACTTTCTTTGCTTGATATAAACTAATAGTGCAACAACATTCTTTTTTTGCAAGTTGATTATGTGCCATCTTATATAATATGTAGTGGCAGCATGAAAATAAATCTGCATAAATAAGATAATTGCTGGAGGTAAGAATCATCAGTTGAACACAGCAAGTAGGAAAACTGAAGAAGCAATGTAGATCAATCCATACTATGTATAGTATGGATCTATCTATGTACAGTGGTATATACAAGAGTGTTACACTAATCTACAAATGTGATACAATCTTATAAACCACAAATTATAGAGATCCTAATTTCTTCTCACCTGAATATTTAACAGAATCGAGAAAGCAATTTAGCTTAATTTCCAAACAGAAACTGCAAGATTGTGCCCACAAACACCCATGAAATTCCCAGATAACATGTGCATATTGAATGTAAAAACTATTATGAAATTTCAATGTCGTGTCATGATATTTTTTTTGTGAAATTTCAGAATGTCAATGTCTTCTAAGAGATCTTGGGGATGAGAGCAATGGAAACTCATAGGATTTAGGAACTTTTCAAGACATCACTCATTTTTAATGTTTGGATATTGATCTATATCATCATTCAGGTAATCTCATACAATAGCACTTAAAAATTTGATGGTACCTTATTTCACTGTTTTAAAGATAGTTAATTAATTAATTGAATGGTATTTCTCATGGGAAATGTTTTGTAAAACATGTAGTAAACTTGAAGCAACTTTTAAGGTTTGGGACACAAATAAATCTTTGAATGGGGCAAATATGTTGCATTCAAAAAGTCTTTACTTTCATTCTAACAGGGAGACCAGTCTGGCACACTGGAAAAAAATACTGCTAGATCAATATTGATGGCTGGGCTTCGAGAAAGTGTAACAATATACACTTTTGCAACAATATACACTTTGAAGGCATTTATGTACTATAAAGGTACATGATTTATTTTTCCATATAGAATTGGTAAAATATTACCTGCAACATAATCACCAAATCCAATTGTTGTTAAGGTGATAACTACAAAATAAATTGCGTCTAATGTATTCCAGCCTTCTATGTGCTTTAAAATGACTGCCGGAAGAGCAACAAACAGAACGCAGCCAAACAGTATGAATATTATTGTTGATATTATTCGGATCTTTGTCTGACTCACATTCCATTTCTGTGATGGGGGGAAAGAATAAACACAGGGGATAGAAGAAGAGAAAGAAAGAGGGGAAAAAAGAATCCATTATTAGTAAAGTAAAGTAATATTATTTCACGTATTATTTCACATTTAAAAAATGTGTAGATCTTTTTACTAAAACCCAGGTGACATTGTCTGCAAAGTTTTAAATCAAAATAGATGGCTAAACAGTTCTAACTGTGTAATCAAAGGGTGACAGAATAGATTAAAGCCACTACAAAATCACAATGTTAAAAAAAGCTTTTTCAACATTTCTCTGTAAAGTATTTATAGCAGATATACAGTGGGTCTATAGGGATATTTAATCACTATCAGCCCCACCAAGCATATATGGAATTGTTTACGATAAAAATGAAATAGATGGGTAAGTCTTCATACAAGCATTGATCATGAAATTTCTCTGCTCCCATGAATATTTATATAGGAGAATTTAATTGCTATCAATGATATTCAATGCCAAGTAACTATCCATGAAATTACAACCATGTGCAGTGAATAAATGGGAGCAGAAGGAAGCTAAATTTCAAATTTACTTTCATTCTCTTTCATGTATAGACACTTCGGGATTCATCATGTCAACCAACAATACAGTAGGTAGAAAAGGAAAAGGAAAAAAACAGTGTAAGGTGGATAGGTGAGGTAAATAACATTTAAATGAATATTTATTTGGATGCATTTCACTACAAATTGTTTATACCAAGAATAATCTACCTTTCTTCAATAGTTCCACCTGCAATAGCTATTCACAGCATGAAGCTAAACTACTACAGTTATTACCAAATTTTATATACAGTTATTCAAGAAAGGAAGGATCCTCCCAATAAAAAATAGGAATAAAATTTCATAAGAAGAAAATGATATAACAAAAAGACCAAATTATATGCCATACAAAATGTTCATTAATTTTCATGATGTCAAGTGTTGGATTGGTTAGATAAAATACTCTAATCTGATTTCAATACATTTTGTATTCAAGTAATTTATTTCTACTGATAATTGTTGTACTGAATATCAGTAACAGAATTTCCTTCAAAGTCATTACAACATAGAACATGGTATCTTAGGGCTGGAAGGTCTACTAGTCCAACCCCCTACTCAAAGCAGATGACCTTATACCATCCCGGTCAAATCACTGTCCACAATGGAGCATCCACAACTGTTCTGCTTTTTAGAAAAAAATCTCCTTACTTCTAGGCTGCATCTCTAACAAACTTCCACCTATTACTTGTTTTACTGAACTGTTGATAGTTTATTTAGGAAAATATCATAAATTTGAAATAGGATATTAAATACGTGTAAAAAAAGCTGAAAGGGGTTTCTTGCCCCTATTGGAATACCTAGAAAGGGGTTCTGCAAAATGTAGACATAGGACACCCTTTCAAATACAGCAAACATTTACCAAAAGATATTTTGAGGAAAATCCCATCAATTCTCTACCTGATTAAAAGAATCACATTGTGCCCACAGCACAAAATTCTTTCTCATGGATTTAAGGTAACTTCATAACATACTCTTTAGGATCTGTTAATATTATTATAATTGGCGTAGGACCAATAGTAATAGCACTTAGACTTATATACCATTCTATAGTGCTTTACAGCACTTTCTGAGCAGTTTATAATATAAGTATTATTTGTATATTGCCCCCAACAATCTGAGTCCTCATTTTACCAACCTTGAGTCAACCTTGGGCCAGCCAGGGGCCGGCTGAGTCAACCTTGGGCCGGCCAGGATCAAACTCTGGGCTGTGGGCAGAGTTAGCCTGCGATACTGCATCCTAACCATCGTGCCACCACACCTCACATAACCAAGTGGTATACATGATCTCTATCATCATATGTTTGCTCTAGGAAAATCTCTGTGTCTCTCAAATGGACCTAAGTCATGTGGAAGCTCAAGTAACTCTCACTGTTTTGTATTTTGCCTGAAGAGAACTTGGGAGTAAATACAGAGTAAAACTGTACAGGTAGTCCTCGGTTTATGACCATAACTGAACCACTGATAAGCAAGACAGTTGTTAAACGAGTTTTGCCCCGTTTTATCAGCTTTCTTGCCATAGTTGTTAAGTGAATCATTTCAGTTATTAAGTTAATAACATGAGTCTGGGTTCTCTGTCTGCTTGTCAGACAATTGCAAAAAGTGATCATATAAACCCATCATAAATACATGCCAGTTTCCAAGCTTGCTTTCAAGTGTGGCTTGTCTTCTGGAATATAGGACTCCTGGACTTCAGCCATATATTTACTATATTTTTGGCACAGTACAAAAATATTTTCCCATTGCTTTTTGAAGATGTTTTCAGATTTTTCCATCTAGCCTACAGCCTAGATTATTCTCTGAATGTCTCCCAGGCAAGAGCTAACTAGACTCATCCCTTCCAAATTGGGACATTTTAGGTCAAACTAGATGTTTAGACAAATGAATATAATTTGGACCTGCAATTTGTTTGAAAAGTAGTTGAAAAGCTCCATTAAATTCAAGACTAGTGAGAATACTAGCCCTCTCTTTTTTCTTTTGATCTAAATCACATCCTTCTACCCCCACTATTATCATTTGTACAGACATGCACCCATACTGTTAGCCTTGTTGGCTTAAACGTCTGTTTGGACACATGAACACACAACTCTTGATGCTAAATAAGAGGGTATTTAGAGGTGAAAGGCTGTTAAGTGAATAATTAAATGCTTCATCTCTTTTTCCATCAATGTTTTTATTATTAAAGTGGACAGGGACAAAGATGAATAAGAAAGAGAACATGTGTTTGCATGCAACACTGAATTTATTTTAAAATTAAAGATAATACAACATTCTATGGCACATTTATAGGAAGAAATAATATTTTATCAATACACTGTTATGTACAGTTTACTTTATGCCAGACTTTTAACCACGAATGCATGACCAAAATCAAATATCTGTAATAAAACATTTTCAAAGTTAACAGAACTTAATCATATTTCAGAACAATGTAACTGCAATGTATACTCACAACAAATGTGTCTTCTACTCTGGCGATCCCTTTCCCAAATATGGTCCCTAGTTGATCTCCAACTCCGGCCAACAGAAAACCAAAGAGAGGGATTCCCAGTAAGGCATAGATGATACAGAATATTTTTCCACCTTCTGTACGTGGTGAGATGTTCCCAAATCCTAAATTACAAACAACTTGAGCTGTTGATAAATCAGTTAAAGGCATTAAATTACACATCTAATTAGCACTGCAGATAAGGACACTTTTTAAATGTTCCATAGGAATATAGATCTCATTAATTAAATGATTAATACAGAGATTCTATACTAATTGGATTGCTAAAGTCATCTCAAATTGAACTGCATTGGGAATTCTTCAAAGAATTGATCTTTTTCACATAGGTGAAACAAATAGTGGAAAGACACCATTACTCTCTTCAAAATGTAATCTCTATAGAGATTTATTCAGCAATATGTTTAATTCATTTCAGAGATAAAATTTTCTTACACGTAATTTTCAGTAGTTCTCAGACAGCTTAAATAATGTATAGCTACTGTATAAAATTTCTGGTACCACCTACCAACTATTTCAAATCCTCTTTTTCTACTGTTCATTTATAGTCACTGACTACAAGATTTACAACTTTAATTGCACATAGCAATAGCATTTAGCCTTATATACCACCCCATGTTGCTTTACAGCACTCTGTAAGTGGTTTACAGAGTCAGCATATTGCCTCCAAGAATCTGGGCCCTCATTTTACTGACATCAGGATGGAAGGCTGAGTCAACCGTGAGCCGGTGAGGATTGAACCTCCGGCAGTCAGCAGAATTAGCCTGTAATACTGCATTCAAACCACTGCCCCACCACAGCACTTCATATAGACTGGATGATCCAATCTTATATTCGATTTTCCGCCCCAAAATTGTTATTTAAATGACTGCATATCTCTTTTCTATAAATGATATGATTTAAGATGCAAGCAAGATATCAAGGTCAATAATGAAACATTTAATATATTCTTGGCACCATCCAAGGTTCCTACTCTATTGAACTCTTAAAGAATTTTAATTAAAAAAAACATACAGGTAGCATGTGGCAAAGGCCTGTCTTAGACATAGCCTGTATTTCCAGCAATACTTCTCACCTCCAGGTAGATTTCAGAGGCATAGTTAGAAAATAAATTATTGGAACTTCCAGTCCCAATGCTTTGTACACCTTCTGGGTCTAGGTCTTTTATCTGGCCACATCTATATAGCAACTATTTCATGAAAATGCTCACAATATATCTTCAAACTCCAAATATTCCCCCACCCCCTAAAATTTAGGCAATCCCAGAGCTTTTGGATCAAAATTATCATATATGATCTTAATATTATGCTTACTTATATATCTTCATTGTATCTTTTAAAATCATGAATAGCAATAATCTATAATCCATTTCTTTTATCTTCAGCTGCTATATCGATCAAATGAATTAAATTGGTACATTGTCGTCACTATATAACCATATAGAATGTTACTGAGGTTGTTATCTGGCACTGTTATTTTGCTTTCTTTAAGTTTTGTAAAAGATTTTGTTTTCTTTAATTTTGAAAACATGGTTTTGTGATTTGAACTTCATTTAGCACCTATCCAGAATTTGCTGACTGAGCATTTAGCTCTACTCAGTCAGAAATACTGGATAAATGCTAAATGAAGTTCAAATCCATGTTTTGCTATACAGTATATACACTAGTCTGCTTAATTTGGTGTGGTCTATCTCATAAAGTCTGAAATTCTTTTAGATTCTTAGAAAATGTTATCTATTGTAAAAAAAATAGATTTTTTTGATAGAAGTGTATTAGTTTGTCTCCTGGTTCAACTCATAAACCAAGTCCAAATTTTTCTACCATTGTAAATGCTATTTTATTACTCTACTTGGCATTCCAATCTCCTATAATTGATATGATGTCTTTCTTTGTTTTTATCTTGATACAGAATAGAATAGAATAGAATAGAATAGAATAGAATAGAATAGAATAG